GACTTCATCTCCATAAAAAAATAGAAAAAATTAGCTGAGTGTGGTGGTACATACCTATAATCCCAGCTACTCTGAAGGCTGAGGCAATTGGATAACTTGAGCCCAGGAATTGGAGGTTGCAGTGAGCTAAGATGATGCTACTGCACCATAGCCCAGAGCAAGATCCTGTCTCAAAAAAAAAGACTTTATTTTTATGGGATAAAAAGAAACAGGATGGAAAGCCTGGTATTCCCAAGGATACACTGTGGTGTAAGTTATTGAGGGCATTTAGACACTCTGGAATGATACAATACTGAGCAGATCAGAAGTCAAATTAGGGAATTGGTCCTTGGAGGTCATAGCCATACCAAGTTATTTAATATTAAGGAGCTGTTGAGGGACATCTTTAACCTTCCAAAATGATGCCAGCGCTAACTCAAGGCATTCCTGCCCTGTATAGCTGTCCTGCATTGGACAGTTGGTGTCTGAAGTTGGTCTTATGAGTAATTTTATAGACTGTGTCCAAAACACATCATTCAGCAGGAAATCAGTAAATCTGCCATAAAAAGGAGATTCTCTGGTCAAATAAGTGTGGAAAATGCCAGGCTATATAGGGTTAAACTGTATGTTTTATTGCAGGCTGTTTCAAACCTTTAATATAGTAAATGTGTACTATAATTATCCAAGGAGGTAAAGTTTGCAGCTTCCCTGGTTATTTAACCGGGAATGTCTCACTAGTGTTCCACAAATGACCATTTGGGAAACATTGTCCTAAAGCATTATCTCTGGAAAGCCCCTATTAAAAGGCAAATATAATACTTGAGAGAAAGTAATATATGAACTATTAGCACCCACTTTCATATTTGATGGCAACATGTTCCTGGAAAGATAGTGCATCAGAAATATGCATTGCCCTCAGGGAATTCATAGTCTATTTCTGAGATATAAGAGAGAATGACATCTACAATAGATATTATGGTAAGGAATTACACAATGCTATAAAATGGTGGTATTTTGAATAAGGATTTTGACAGTGAAAATGAAATGAAATAGATTTGGGATATATTTTGAAAAAAGACCAATAGGACTTAGTGACAGATGGAGGATACAGGGTAACAAAAAGGGAAAGTTTTAAAATGACCCTAAGATATTTGACTTTGCAATTGTGTGAATGGTAATGCCATTCACTGTAAAAGAGAATGAAAAAAAGGAATGGGATTTGTGAAGATGATGAGTATAGCCTATGGAATTTCTAAAGACAGTCATTTTCAGGATCACCCTATGTGGTTGTTACTAGTCATTCTGCTCTGCTACATTGTACAATGAAGAAGCAGTTCTTGTGAGGGATGTCACATTAAAGATTCTGTCTAAATCATTTGTCTTCTCACTTATTCCTGTGGTAGCTTAATTGATTAACTGAAATACCAGACATAGCCTACAGCAGTCAGGACTTTTCAGACAGAACGTAACTATTCAATTCACAAAATAAGGCTTTTTCTGATCAAATATAGGAAATGATCAGATTAATTGATTAAGATTGTTAGCATTGATAAGATTTTTAATATGAAGGGGTGAAAATATAAAAAATTGTATAGAGTTCTTTTTATTGCTATTTACAATGTCAACCAATTTTTATTGCATGCCCAGAATATGCCAAGTTCAATGCTGAATTCTACAAAGATGAGCCAGTCAGAGTTCTTGGTGTAGAATTGTTCAGAGTCCAGGTGAGGGTTGGTTTCACAATTGTGTAAAATTAATTTTTAGAGGCTATACTGCACATACTAAGATAACAACAGTGGAAGCATTCCATTCTAGTGGAGGGTGAGCAAAGACCTTGATGCTTGAACTCATTCTTGCAAAATGAAAAAGATGTTTTCCAAGTGGACAAAAGAGTGAAATGAAATACAAGAGGACATTCCCGGAACACAAAAGGACATTGTTGCAAAGCTTAGATGCTTGAAATGTATCTTGCAGGTAATAAGAAGCAATTTAAGGATGTTGAGAACACAAGTAATAAGTCATATTTATGATTTATAAAGATAACACTGGCAGTTATGTGGAGGACAAATTAGAGAGAGCAAGATTGAAGGCAGAAAGGTCAATTAGAAGCTTCTGAAAAGTTTCAAAGAGGAGATGATGGAGCAGTATCAGTGGGGATGGAGAAAAGATGGATCAGATCAGAGAGATGTCAAAAAGGCAGAATCTTAGGACTTAATGATTTTCTGGATATGCTAAGAGACATCAAAAATGGAGTCTAATGATAATACTTTCATTTTATCCTCCATGAACAACTTAATTAATGGTATTTCTTTCAGTAAGATGGAAAGATAAGGGGGAGGAAGGAGGGCAGTTTGGAATGGAAGATAATGATTTAATTTTAACATAAATGTGAAGTGTCTGAGAGATGTATAAATTTTTAGTGGACATATAGATATAGGAGCCTGGATTCAAGTGAAAAGTCTGGGCTTGAAGATATATTTGGAGTTGACAACATATGTATGGTATTTGATTCTGCTGAATGGAAGGACTTCTGTTTCCTAGAAGGATGGACAACCACTCTTGCCAAAAACTCTAGGAAAAAAATAATAAAACACTGACACACACACAAAAATGAGTAAAGACAAAGAAAATCTGATCAACATAATGAAACAGCATGACAACAATGAGAAATTCATTTCCCTTTGAAGTGTATAGGGAACATCTAACAAAACTGATCACATGCTTGACAACTAAAAAAGCCTCTCAACAAGTTTATAAAGGTCGAAATCAATCAGAGCATCTTCTTGACTCCGTGGTAGTAACCTAGAAACCAACAAGAAAACAATAAATATAAAATTCTAAATTTCCTTTTAATTATACAATATACTATTAAATAGCCAATGGATCAAGGAAGAAATCACATGTAAAAGGAGAAAATATTTTGAATATACTAAAATTTGTGATATGCAGCTTTAGTAGATATTAGAAGGAAATTTATACGTGTAAATTTTCATATGTAGAACTGAGGAAAGACTGAAAATCAACAATTTAAGCTTATACATTTCAAGAAGTTAGAGAAATAACAGTAAATTTTAACCTTAGAATACTATAAGGAAACAATATTTAGGAAATCTGAATAGTCCAATACTTACAAAGAAATTTACTCCATTATTAAAAAAACTTTCCATAAAGAAAACCCCATACCCAGCATTTAACAAAAAAATAACAAAATTTAGACACAGAGTTAAATAATAATAAAGACACCCCAATTATTTTTAAGAAGCCAGCATAATTTTGATTCCAAAATCTGACAGGAACAGTGCAAGCAATAAAAATCACATACAAATTCCTCTCACTAACATGGATTCCAAAAATTCTTTACTAAAAATTTAACATTTTAAATCTGATAATAATATAATAAAATATATCACAATTAGGTGATATTCATTCCAGGTATCCATGGTGGTTTATCATTCAAAAATCATTCAGTGTAATTCATCATATTACCAAAATATAAAAGAGAAGACTCATATGAGCATCTCAATAAAAGCAGATACTACATTTGTAAAAATTCAAAACCTACCCGTAATAAAAACTTTTAGCAAAATATGGAAAGAAAGGCGGCCGGAGTCGGCCTCCGGTGACGTCAGGACGCTCCGAGGGTGCCGGCCCCCAGCCCCGGCCCCCAGAGTCCCGCGCGTGCCGGGCTGGGGCGGGGCGTCGGGCCAGCTGAGCTATCCCGTCAGACCCCGCCAGTTTGAATGAAAGCTCCTCAAGATGGCGGCGGCGGGGGCCGAGACGCGAGGAGCTTGGTGTGTGCCTTGCCTAGTTTCACTTGATACTCTTCAGGAATTATGTAGAAAAGAAAAGCTCACATGTAAATCGATTGGAATCACCAAAAGGAATCTAAAGAATTATGAGGTGGAATACTTGTGTGACTACAAGGTAGTAAAGGATATGGAATATTATCTTGTAAAATGGAAAGGATGGCCAGATTCTACAAATACTTGGGAACCTTTACAAAATCTCAAGTGCCCATTACTGCTTCAGCAATTCTCTAATGACAAGCATAATTATTTATCTCAGGTAAAGAAAGGCAAAGCAATAACTCCAAAAGACAATAACAAAACTCTGAAACCTGCGGTTGCTGAGTACATTGTGAAGAAGGCTAAACAAAGGATAGCTCTGCAGAGATGGCAGGAAGAACTCAACAGAAGAAAGAATCATAAAGGAATGATATTTGTTGAAAATACTGTTGACTTAGAGGGCCCACCTTCAGACTTCTACTACATTAATGAATATAAACCAGCTCCTGGTATCAGCTTAGTTAACGAAGCTACATGTGGTTGTTCATGCACGGATTGCTTCTTTGACAAATGTTGTCCTGCTGAAGCTGGAGTTCTTTTGGCTTATAACAAAAAACAACAAATTAAAATCCCGCCTGGTACCCCCATCTATGAGTGCAACTCAAAGTGTCAATGTGGACCTGATTGTCCCAATAGGATTGTACAAAAAGGCACACAATATTCACTTTGCATCTTTCGAACTAGCAATGGCCGTGGCTGGGGTGTAAAAACCCTTGTGAAAATTAAAAGAATGAGTTTTGTCATGGAATACGTTGGAGAGGTAATCACAAGTGAAGAAGCTGAAAGACGGGGGCAGTTATATGACAACAAAGGAATTACATATCTCTTTGATCTGGACTATGAATCTGATGAATTCACAGTGGATGCAGCTCGATATGGAAATGTGTCTCATTTTGTGAATCACAGTTGTGACCCAAATCTTCAGGTGTTCAATGTTTTCATTGATAACCTCGATACTCGTCTTCCCCGAATAGCATTGTTTTCCACGAGAACCATAAATGCTGGAGAAGAGCTGACTCTTGATTATCAAATGAAAGGTTCTGAAGATATATCTTCAGATTCTATTGACCACAGCCCAGCCAGAAAGAGGGTCAGAACTGTATGTAAATGTGGAGCTGTGACTTGCAGAGGTTACCTCAACTGAATTTTCAGGAAATAGAGCTGATGATAATTGTAGTTTTTCTGATGTTAACATTTTTAAAAAAAATGAATATTTGGGACTCTTTGTTTCATATCAGCAAGATTATACCTTTGTTAATTTATAATTCATATTTCAACACATTTGCCAAATGTATTACCAACGCTTCTAAAGAGAGTGCCACTGGGCCACATAGACTGACTTGAAGTCTACATATGTAGTGCTTGGAGACCAAATACAAAAGGCAAACTATTTACGGCTCAGCATATGCATACGTAAGAAGTCCATGTGAATAGAAGAATGCCGCCTTCAGTATTTGAAAAGTGTTAAACTCATAACAGTTGCTGAGATCAGAAATTCGACTTGCCACACATACACCCCAAATTCGGAGAAATAGAGTTAATTCAGTCTGGGCAAACATGCAAGTTCTGTTTTTGTTATTACATTGTCATTTCTGTTTAATACTCACTGTACTTGTATTTGAGACAAATAGGTGATACTGAATTTTATACTCTATTTTCTACTTTTTCATTAAAACATTGGCATCTTAATGATAAAAAATAAATATGGAAAGAAGGAAACTTGCTCATTGTAAGAAAATAAATTACCAGAACACTTAAGCAAACACCACATTCAAGGAATTATTTTACTATGACTGGTTAAAAAAATCAAAGATACGGCCGGGCGCTGTGGCTCACGCCTGTAATCCTAGCTCTTGGGAGGCCGAGGTGGGCGGATTGCTCAAGGTCAGGAGTTCAAAACCAGCCTGAGCAAGAGCGAGACCCCGTCTCTACTATAAATAGAAAGAAATTAATTGGCCAATTGATATATATATATAAAATTAGCCGGGCATGGTGGCGCATGCCTGTAGTCCCAGCTACCCGGGAGGCTGAGGCAGAAGGATCACTCGAGCCCAGGAGTTTGAGGTTGCTGTGAGCTAGGCTGACGCCACGGCACTCACTCTAGCCTGGGCAACAAAGCGAGACTCTGTCTCAAAAAAAAAAAAAAAAAAAAAAAAAATCAAAGATAAATTCTATTACCACTTTTAATCAAATTTGTACTCCAGGTTCAAACTAGTGCAATAGAAATAGAAATTAACACATAAGGATTAGAAAGGTTGAAATAAAGTTTCCAATATTTGTAGAAAACAAGACTGAATACCTAATGAGCTCAATGAATTTATGGCCAAACTATTGGAATTAAGAAGTGGATTTAACAAGTCAAGTTATAAAAATCAATTTTATTTATTTCAGCAACAAATGTTTAAATTGAAAAAAAAAATAATATGGTGATGGCCAGTTCTATGTGTCCAGTTTAGCTAGGCTATAGCCTCCAATTATTTAATCAAACACAAATCTAGGTATTACTGTGAATGTATTTTGTAGATGTGATTAACATTTATCATTAGTTGACTTTAAGTAAAAAGAATATCCTAGATACATGGATCCATGTCCTAGATAACATGAGTGGGCCTGAGTCAGTTAAAAGGCATTAAGAGCAGAACTGAGGTTTCCCTTAGGAAGATATTCTGCCTGTACTCTGCAACTTTAGCTGGTGCTCAAGAGTTTCAGCTTGTCTGTCAGCCCGCTCTGTGGTTTTCAGACTTGTTTACCCCCCACATTCACATAAGCCAAACAGTCTCTCTCTCTCTCTCTCTCTCTCGATAGATGATACATAGATCCATAAATATAAATATAGAGTGTATATTATATATGAGATTCGTGTGTATATATATATACACTATATATGTGTGTGTGTGTGTGTGTGTGTGGGTGTGTGTATAAATGAGTTTAGTGCAAAAGTAATTGCAGTTTTGGACCATGAATTTTAAATCATTATAATAGGCTAAAGCACATCTTTATTAATCAAAATAGGAACCATTACAATCAACACATTTTTGCCGACAAGAAATGTTTGTTTATTACTGTAGCATAAAAATCCGTGCTTTGGGATTCAATGAACTCTTGGAAAGCATTTTCTGCATCCTGCTGGTTTTGAAAGTATTTTCTACATCCTGCTGGTTGTGGAAGCATTTTCTCTGCAAAAAATTGTTGAGATGCTTGAAGAAGTGGTAGTGGGTTGGCGAGAGGTCAGAGGTGAATACAGCGGATGAGGCAAAACTTTGTAGCTCAATTCGTTCAGTTTTTGAAGCATTGGTTGTGTGACGTGAGGTCAGGCATTGTCATGGAGAAGAATTGGGCCTTTTCGGTTGACATTTCTGTTGGCTGCAGGTGTTGCAGTTTTTGGTGCATCTCATCAATTTGCTGAGCATACTTCTCAGATTTAATGGTTTTTGTCCATATTCACAAAGCTGTAGTGGATCAGACCAGCATCAGACCACCAAACAGTGACCACGACCATTTTTTGGTGCAAGTTTGGCTTTAGGAAGTGCTTTGGAGCTTCTTCTTGGTCCAACCACTGAGCTGGTCCTGGCTGGTTGTCATATAAAATCCACTTTTCCTTGCATGTCACAATCTAATCAAGAAATGGTTTGTTTTGTTGCATACAATAAGAGAAGACAACACTTCAAAACGACGATTATTTTAAATTTTCAGTAAGCTCATGAGGCAGCCACTTATCAAGCTATATCACCTTTCCAATTTGTTTCAAATGTCAAATGACTGTAGAATGGTTAATGTTGAGTTCTTCAGCAACTTCTCATGTAATTGTAAGAGGATCAGCTTCAATGATTGCTCTCAACTGGTCATTGTCAACTTCTGATGACCGGCTACTGCAAGGCTCATCTTCAAGGCTCTCATCTCCTTTGCAAAACTTCTTGAACCACCACTGCACTGTATGTTTGTTAGCAGTTCCTGGGCCAAATGCGTTGTTGACGTTGCAAGTTGTCTCCACTACCTTATGACCCATTTTGAACTTGAATAGAAAATCGCTAGAATTTGCTTTTTGTTTAACATCATTTCCATAGTCTGAAATAAATGTAAAATCAACAGCAAGTAACAAGTCATTAGCAAAAAAACATAAAGTGAGAAATGCACATTAAAATGATGTATAGGGGCCGGGCGCGGTGGCTCACGCCTGTAATCCTAGCTCTCTGGGAGGCCGAGGCGGGCGGATTGCTCGAGGTCAGGAGTTCGAAACCAGCCTGAGCAAGAGCGAGACCCCGTCTCTACTATAAATAGAAAGAAACTAATTGGCCAACTAATATATATAGAAAAAATTAGCCGGGCATGGTGGCACATGCCTGTAGTCCCAGCTACTTGGGAGGCTGAGACAGAAGGATCGCTTGAGCCCAGGAGTTTGAGGTTGCTGTGAGCTAGGCTGACGCCACGGCACTCACTCTAGCCTGGGCAACAAAGCGAGACTCTGTCTCAAAAAAAAAAAAAAAAAAAAAATGATGTATAGCATAACCACATTTATTTAAGAAGGTATTCCAATATCAAACAGCAAATTACAACAATGCTAAAACCGTGATTACTTTTGCACCAACCTGAAATATGCTATATATATATATATGTTTACATATATACATATATATATATATATATATATAAACTGGTTCCATTTCTATGTTGGAACCCTGACTGATACGAGCATTATTAACAATTGAATAAGATAGCAAATGCCTAGAAATAGATTGGATGACAGATATGAAAGATTCTTATAATGAAAATTATCACATTTTGAAAAAAAAATTAAAGACATAAATAAATGGAGGGAGAGACTATATTATGTATCACACCACTAAATATTGCTAAGGTGTCAAAAAGTGATTTAAAATACCTCCTAACTAATAAAGATCCAACATAATCCCAATAAAAATTCAAGTACATTTTTGAAAAATTTACTAGGTGATCCTAAAATTTATAAGGAAATGCAAAAGGCCAATAATGGGTATCTTGTAGAACTGCAGAACAGGAGCAAACAGGAGGAATTCACTACCAGATAAGAATCCCTATTATTAAATATAAAGAGATAGTAATTAAGAGGATATAGTATTGGCAAAAGAGTAAGCAAACTAATTAATGGAACAAAATCTACAGTCCAGAATCAAACCCACACATATACTGTCATCTGATTTATGACAAGAAGACACTAGTAATTTGGAGAAAGAACGATTTGTTCAATAAATAGTTCTGAGTCAAACCAATATCCTTATGGAAAGAAATCAACCTTTGATGAACTTCTAGAATGGCAGTTTGAGAGCATGGTGGACATTCTCCGCAGCAAAAAAATTACCTAACTGCTGCACATTATTTTTCAAAAAAAAATATTTAAAGTGTCTAGAAATCATCCTGAGAGCCTAAAGCAAATAGAGAAACATCTAATCAGGAAAATCATCTATTACTACATCTCAGTAAGAAAAATGAGAGTTTGTGGCATTTGAGCCTTGGCATGTTTCTATTTCCACCCCTACCAGTTCACTGTGATGGAAATTCTACTCCAGTCATCTGTAGTTAAGATGGGTTCCCTCTCCACCTAGCCTCCCAGTCTAGGGTTACACTTTTACCTGGGTGAGGCAGGCCACCAGCATCACTCATTGGCCGAAGTTACATAATGCAGAAGCCTTATTCTTGGTAGTTACAGTGGGCCAGTCTTCCTTCCCCCACCCAATGCCTACTTATAGTGAGGAAGGTCAACTCCAGGTATAGCAGGTATAGTATACTCTGCTTTGAACACACTTGACTCAGGTCTCTAGAAAAGCAGAGGTCACACACTAAGAGAGCCACATACAGAAGACCAGGAACTACCTTTGCACCCAGAGCTTTGCTCTTAGAGCTAGGGCATAATTCTAGGAGAAAAATGCTGCTGTCTTTACCCTCTACTCCCTTACAATAGCACAGACATTCTGCCCATGGGAAAAGGCAAGACATAAGAACACAGCTCAACAGCTCAGACTAAGGGGACTAGTTTTATTTTGAAAACTGTGTGGAGAATTTCAAAACTAAGGCATTGTTGAAAACAATTCAAATTTTGGTGGCCATCAATTAAGACAAGGCTGGTAACTCCATGATACTTACCAGGTAGACCAGCTTGAAATACATATGTGTAAATTTACCAAATTTAATTGTTATAAATT